TAACGAGTCTAGGGAGTCGCTTACGCCTACTCCCCAACCCTAACCCTAGCTCTAATCCTAACTCTAATCCTAACCCTAACAATATCAAATAGTGACCAGGGTACGTTCCGGTATACCGGACCGTACCCAGGGTACGTTCCGGCAGTACCCTGGGGGACATAGACCCTATGAGCGTAAGGGAGCTGTAAGTGCGTATTGCGCCTAACCACGCTGATATGCCGCGCGTATGCGCAGCGGTGTGTGAACCCTATATCGGTTTGACCAGGACGTGAGAACGTACGGCGACTTATCACTTCTTTCGCATAGATCTCAAACTGCGATGCAATGCCGATACCAACCAACTCGTCGTCAGTGCCAAGTTCACGCGTGCGTTCAACGGATATCTCTACGCAAAGGGATTTTACGAGACACGCGGCTGCCGAGCATTGGGAACGGGATCTCCGCTGCTGGAGCTAGTCCTTCCCCTGGACGGCTGCGGGACAGTAAAGAGCGGGGTGAGAAAACGAAATCTGCATAATATACGTGGAATCGTCACTAACGCGATAAATCAGAGAGGTTTCGTAGCATAGCATCAATGCAAGTGAGACGAGCGAGGCCATAACTGAAATAACGATATATCTTCGAAGTATATGATGCGGAGGTATAGGCATCGGAGCTTGTTCGGTATTGCCATCTTCGGAGTACGATGCGGAAGTATAGGCATCGACGCTTGTTCGTTACAGCCAGGAACATCTAGATCGTTTTACAACAACACCGTCATCATAATGAACGAAGCCGAGTGGGGGCTGCTAGGCATGATGGACGCCTCCTACTCTGTGTCCTGTCAGTTCGGCGGGGATTCCGTGCAGCGATTCGACTGGGGCTTCACAGTACCGTGAGTATGCTAAAGCTGGGTTTACACTACCGAATTTATGTTGGCGAATTGGCGATTTGGACCAGCTTTCCAATTCGCCAACTTCGAGTTGGCGAATATAGAACATGCTCTAATCATCTCCCAACTAGTTGCTATCGATCGGTTGGTCGCCCAACCTTTGCGTTTACACTACCGATTGTCGGTTGTATAGTTGGGAAGTTGGTCCAATTCGCCAATTCGCCAACACAAAGTTGATAGCACCCGTTTTTTTATTTCGTGTTTGTTAAACCCGTTTTTGCTCCACTTTTCTAATGTCATCCTCTTGCTGCACAATTGTTTTTGTCGTGATATTTTGGCCGCGCAGTGTTCGCCACGACAGGGCACGCGTCCTTCACAATAGTACCCGAATTTTATTTGCACTTTGATTTTTTAGAATGTTGACGACGCGCGGTGTTGTCACTGTAACGAGCGAGGCTCCATCTTGTTCGATGAAGATCGTGCAGGGCCAAGATCCTCTTGCGCAGCCAACGACGCTGCTATTCCTGGGCGACATCGCAACGATGGTGTTCGAAACGCGGGGTATGCGCACACACATGCGAGCACGCTCGCACGCACACACGCACACACGCACACGCACACACACATGCGCGCACGCACGCACGCACACACGCGTGCACGCAAATACATACACACGCACACACGCACACGCACACACCCATGCGCGCACGCACGCACGCACACACGCGTGCACGCAAATACATACACACGCACACACGCACACGCACACACCCATGCGCGCACGCACGCACGCACACACGCGTGCACGCAAATACATACACACGCACACACGCACACGCACACACCCATGCGCGCACGCACGCACGCACACACGCGTGCACGCAAATACATACACACGCACACACGCACACGCACACAC